TTTCCTGCGCCAATATTGTCGTGTTTTCTGTAAACAAGGATGTCTTCCTTCATGACAACGGCAGGGCCTGCCAACTCAGGAAGGAACACGGACTCACTCCAGAATCCACTCCTTAGGCCTGTTCACATTGCTCCGTGTTTGTTCTTGTTTGTCCCAGTGATGTCCTTCTTGGCCACAGGGTGGCCAAAACCTTGCCATGTCTGTCTCAGTTTCCTTCAGACTCGAAAAGGAGCTTGGCTTCCGTGATCCTGGCACTCTCAAAGATGACGGGTCAGTTCTGAGGGCTGTCCTTCCATTTCCGTTTGTCTGACACTCCCCCGCCATCAGACCCGCTGTCAGATGGACGCAGGAACCACACAGGGTGAAGCCGTGTCCTTCCTGGTGTGCCCATCAGGTGGCCTAGGCTTTCCATGTGCCCTGCTCCTGGGGTACTGGCTCCAATCACTCTGATGGGGCTTGTGGGCTTCCCCCCAGGAAGTCACTGCAGGACGTAGCCCCTCTCTGCAGTGAATAAGAACTCTGTGGGGCGGAATTTAGAGCTTATATAATTCCCCTCTCTCCACCCTTTCCTGACAGATCGGACTCGTGGTTTCTTATTTTATTCAGTGAGTGACCATCTATTTCCTTCTTTCTTTTTTCTTCCTCTTTTGTTTATTTATTTATTTATTTAATTATCATCATAATCTTGTTTATATTACATTGAATCACATATAACTTTACAGGGTCTTACATTTCTTCCTCCGGAAGGGATACCATGCTTATCAATCAATACAAAGACATTAAAATCTCCATCATCATCATGAAATAGCTTTTCATTATTTTTTTCCAGATTATCATTATTGTTATTCCAATTATTTTTTAAACATTCAATCACTGTTTATCATTTTGCTTATATCTTTCTTCCTTTTTAAAGAATTACTTATGTGTTCATTTATTTTAATGTAACCAGAGAGAGACACACACAGAGTGAGAGAGAGAGAGAAAGTGAGAAAGCAAGCCACCAGGTCTGGTACTTGAACCATAGTCGACCATGTTGGAGTGTCCAGTGCCTTAACCACCACCACTTGTTGGTCCCTGTTCAGTCCTTTTCTTTACAACAGCTAGGGCCTTTAGAAAATCCTTTTAAGAAATTTCATCAACCTACAGTAATGAATATATGCTTCTACCTTCTAGAACAGCAGTCTCTTTTTTTTTTTTTAAGAGAGATTTTTGCTATAGGGCATGTGCACTCTCTGGAGAGACAGAGAGAGACAGAAAGCGAGAAATCACCCCCCCTCCCCCGGGCCATGCGGATGCTCATGCTGCAACCACTTCTCCTCCATTCTCCTCTCCTGATCTTGGGTTGCATGACTACACACCTGGTGTGCGGTTCCCAGGACTCGAACCGCGGTCAACTACATGGGAGTCCAGCGACGTAACCATTATGCCATCTGCTGGTCCCTATCTGTTTCTATTATTGTTTATTTTGATGCACAGAGCGATCCTGATTTGATAGTGGGAGCCCCTACCAGAACCACTTTGTCTTTTGACAGGCGCCCATAACCCTTCAGCACTTCCCGAAGTCTGGGGCACAGCCAGCCATCTGGGCTCATCTCACATGCTCCCCAGGCCTAGAGCCTGCACTTCTATAAGGGGCTCTGGCTGCTTTCAGAAGCCCAGATGTTAGTTGTTGGTAGCTTAGTGATGGAATAGCTGGGCTTTTCTTTTCTTTTCTTTTTGCATCTTTGATAACCACAAGTCATCACGAAGTACACTCACTTTCCCAGCATAGATGCCTGCCATGTACAGGTCTAACTGAGAGATGTAGACTCCAGCTGGGCAGCTGTGGTTCTGGGCTATGGCTGTCCAGGGCTGATCTCAGGCCGGCAGTGGGCCTCCCTCTAATGTGCTTTTTCCTATTTACCATTTCTGATCTGAAAAGGGCCGAGGTCCTGAGCTCCTGGGCCCAGCAGGAAAGTGGAAGTGGTGCAGTATGGGCAATGGTAGTGCATACGCACCAGAGGCCCTCCTCCCGCCCACACCCCAGCACTGCCGGTTCTTCTGCTCTCTCTCCTCCGTCTGCAGCTGGGCCTGAAGGGGGTGGGGCCCTACAGTCTGTGCCTGCTCAGACCCCAGCTTGGGGGAGGCCTGGCATCCACACATCAGGGCCGAGGTCCACTTCTCCCCGCCTGTCTCCTGCCCAGCTCCTGTCCCCTCTGCAGCTTTCTGTCCTGCTCATCTCGCCCTGGCCTCTTTCCCCTTCTACCAGCTTTGCCATCTGCATTCTAAGCCTTCTGCTACCAATTTCCTGGGCCTCGGCTTCTCATCTGGAAAATGAGGGGGTGAACGAGATGGGTTCTCAGACCCCTCCTGGCTCTGTCCTCTCCTGCTCCCGTCCCTGGCACAGACCCTTTCATTTGCCCCCTTTCTTTGGGCATCCTGTCTGTCACCTGTCACGTGTCCTTCTTTTCTGCCTCTGGTTCTCTTGAAGTCTCTCTCCCTGTCCTTCCTCCTTCTGCCTACGACTTTATCTCTTTCCGGAAACATCTCCTTCTGCATTACTTTTTCCATTTCCTGGGCCTATTTCTTTTCCTCCACTTCTTTTTATGTGCCATTGCCAGGCTCTATGGCCTCCACCTCTGCCCCTGCCCCTCTCTTTGACTTTCCACCTCGGCCCTGCCTATGACAACTCTGCTCTGAATTCTATTTCTCCCCATCCCACTGCTCTGGACCACACCCTTCGGCTCCCTCCCTCCCCAGCTCCAGTGTTTCCAAGTGCCCCCCTTCCCCATCCCTGTTTGGAGCTCCCCTCGCCTCTGTGCCCAGGCCTAGGAGCGGAAGCCGGGAGCTGTTGCCACGCGGCTCTGCCCGAGTCAGGCCCTTCCCTGTAATGGAAACAGCTGCCCAGCCAGCTGCCTCTGTCTGATGCAGCACTCACTCAGCAGAAATGTCGCTATGGCCCAAACCCAGGGAGCGGGCACCACTGCCAAGAGCCTCTACCCCCACATGGGCACATGCACACGCACGAGCATCCGTGATTGCACGTGGTGGGCACCCAGCTCTGGCAGCCTGCAGGTGGCTGTCACTGGGAACTGCTGTTGGAGCTCAAGCTGGCCTAAGGATTGCTTCCCCCTCTGGACTTGACTCCAGCCCATTGCAAGCTGCCAGCCCCAGCCTGGCCCTTGGAATGTTCTCCATGAGCATGTGGATCGGGGCTCAGGAGGGGGAGAGGATTCGGACCCACCATGGGGTGTTAGCTGGCTAGGTCCTCGTCAAGCCTGCAGACTCTGCACCATGCCGTTTGACCCTCCACTTGTGTGCTGTTCAGAACCTGGCCTAGCGGACTTTTCCTGGGCACTCACCAGTGCCAGGGACATCTACCACCCTGCAGAAGCCTTATGGCTATCCCAGCTCACGGGCCAGGGAGAGGCAGACTTTTCCACCCAGCACAGGCTGGCCTGCCGTCTACCCTCTGTGACACCCGCCTCAGCCTCTCCTGAAGCCTGTTGCTATCTTGAGTTCTTGTCTGGAGGCTCCCGCAGCGCAGATGGCCGCTTGTTCTGGGGCCGCTGCAGGCTGGTGGTCCTCTGTTGCCTGTGCTGTGTAGAAGAGCCTGCTGCAGAGTGCTGCCCGCCGAGGAGCATGTTCTGAAACCATAGAGCCAGGCCCGCCACAGCGACACATCCCTGGTGGGGACCACGAGTGACAGCAACGCATAAGTGAACTCAGCCTTCCAACTGCAGATAAAGATGGTAAGTTCAGGGACCAGCAAGTAGTGTAGTGGTTAAGGTGCTGGACTCCCACATGGTCGACTGCAGTTTGAGTCCCAGTCCTAGAAGCTTGAAACTCACCCCGGGCATGTGTGCGTGCATGTCCAAAATCCTGAGAGGAGAATGGAGAAGAAGGGACGGCAGCATAGCCATGCCCCCTGGAGGGCGATTTCTCACTTTCCCTCTCTGTGTCTCTCTGACGAGCACATGCACTCTATAACAAAACACTCTCAGATGGTAAGTTCACATCTGCCATTAGGTGTGTGTGTGTGTGTGTGTGTGTGTGTGTGTGCGCGCGCGCGCGTGCTAGCCAAGTCCCACGTTAAAAGGTTGGTTTCCCACATTACCACCTTGCACCTGGAGCTGTGGTGGAACTGACGGTGTACCGGCAGCCACCCGGGCAGAATCGGTTCACTGAACTCAGCCTCCCACGTCTGACGATCTCTCATCTCAGAGCAGCCCCTCTCTCCAAAAACATGCCTGTAGTCCCCAGGAACCACGTCTATTCTAACAGGTTTTTCTCTGCTCTCACTGAAATCTCATTAGACTCCTCAGAGGCCTTCTTTACTTTCCACCTCGTACTTGCTGGGGGGCCTGGGTAAGTAGGACGAGCCTCTCTGAGCCCCCGCTGCCTCACCTGAAAGTATCAGGCGTTCAGCACCCCGAGCACCCCGCACTGCTTCTCATGTGATCCTCACACAAGCCCCAAAGGTATACTTATTTCCTCATTTTATAAGACGGAACAGGAGCGGGGGCAGGGGGTGGACCAGCGGACAGCATAATGGTTACTGGACTCCCACGTAGTCAACCATGGTTTCGGTCTCAGACCCAGCAGATTGAAATTCACACCAGGTGTATGTGCATGCGTGGCCAAAACCCTGAGAGGAGAATGGAGGGAAGGGCTTGTGACGTGGCCATCCCCCCTAGCGGGGAGGGTGATTTCTCACTTTCTACATGTGTCTCTGATTGAAATTCACACCAGGTGTATGTGCATGCGTGGCCAAAACCCTGAGAGGAGAATGGAGGGAAGGGCTTGTGACGTGGCCATCCCCCCTGGGGGTGGGGGCTGTGTCTCTCTGTCGCTCTGGTGAGTGGACACACACTCTATAGCAAAAATGTCTCTAAGAAAAAAAAAAATGAAGGCACCGGGCAGCCTCTGGCGTGGAAAGTACTCTCTGAAGCCCCTGCTACAGGAGGTGGCTGCTGGGTTTGTCTCTGAGCCCGTGCTTTTCCCTCTGACTCCTGCACTCCATGGACTCTCAGTTGGCCTTCCTCATCTTGAGCCTTTCACCGGCCAAAGCTTTCAACCGGCTACGGGCCAGGCCTTGGGCCCATTTCGGCTACAGGTGCCTTCCTGCAGGAGGCTTCTGACAGCAGGGAACGCCAGCACAGGATGATTGTTGGTGCCGTGGTGCCCTCTGCTGGGCAAAGGCTAAACTACCAGTCTGGGCCACACGGTATAAAGAGGTCTTTTTCAGAGAGGCTTTTATTTATTTATTCATTCCATGAGTGAGTGAGAGAGACAGTAGATGGCATCCTGACAGGGTCTTTTTTTGTTTTAGCTCTATCTCAGTGGGGTTTTTTGCTAATGTCTAAAAATTTATTATCATAATCTTGTTTATATTACATTGAATCACATATATCTTTACAGTGTATTACATTGCTTTTTCCAGAAGGAATACCTTCCATATTAGTCAAGCCAAAGACATTACTATCCACATAACCACCATCAAATAGCTTTTCATCACTTTTTTCCAGATTATTATTATTATTATTCTCATTATTTTTTAAACATTCAATCACTATATATCTTTTTGCTTGTAAAAAAATTTACCCAACATGAAATACTTCTCAGACCAGTCCAGTTGAGAATACTATACACGTCATCATCAACAGGTAATAAACCATATCTGTGTCCCCCTAATGCCATGTGTCTCTATCTGTTCTCTTACTATCCTTCTCTGTACTCGTCTCTTCTCCCCCTGCCCCGTCCCACACTGTCTTCAGCACCCATAACTATTTGTACTGCTTTTATGCCCTGCAGTATTTCGCTCTCTACCACAGAGTGCGGATAGTCGGTATATATTCAGTGGATACATACAATATCTTTCTTTCACATCCTGGCTTGCTTCACTAGGCAATAGATCCTCCATATCTGACCATTTTCTGTCAAATGCCAGGGTCCTGTTGTTTTTTTATGGCTGAGTAGTATTCGTAGAGTATATGTACCACACTTTTTCAATCCATTCATTTGTTTGTGGACATTTGCGTTGGTTCCATGTCTTAGTGATCATGAATAATGCTGCAATAAACATGGATGTGCAAGCGCTTTTCTGACTGAGTGGTTCTCCTGTCCTTTGGGTAGAGACCCAGAAGTGGGATTGCTGGATCAAATGGTAGTTCTATTTGTAGATCTTTGAGGAACCTCCATATTGTTCTCCACAGTGGCTGAACCAGTTTACATTCCCACCAACAGTGTAGGAGGGTTCCCCTTTCACCACATCCCCGCCAACACTTACCCCTTTTTGTATTTTTAATCTTGGCCATTCTGACAGGGGTTAGGTGGTATCTCATTGTGGTTTTAATCTGCATCTCCCTTATGATGAGGGATGTTGAGCACTTCCTCATATGCTTTTTGGCTCTTCATGTCTTCCTTAGAGAGATTTTTGTTCAGCTCATTTTCCCATCTTCTAATTGGGTTAATCATTTTTTTTTTCAAGTAAGCCGCTTGAGTTCCCTGTGTATTGTGGGTGTCAGTCCCTTGTCTGAAGCATATTTTACAAAAATATTCTCCCATTCTGAGGGTTGTCGGTTCACACTTGTTACTGTGTCCTATGCAGAAACTTCTTAATCTAATATAGTCCCACTTGTCTATTTTAGGGATTATTGCCTGTCCTTTGGGAGTCTTATTTAAGAAGTCTTTGCCTACCCCAATATCTCTCAGAGTTTCCCCAGTATTTTCCAATAGCAGTTTTACAGTCTGAGGTCTCAGATTCAGATCTTTGATCCACTTTGAGTTGACTTTTGTTAATGGTGAAAGATGGGGCGTTCAATTTCATCTTCCTGCAGGTGGATACCTAGGTTTACAGCGCCATTTACTAAAGAGGTTTTCCCTTTCCCAGTGGATTGACTTGTTTCCTTTGTCAAAAATTAGTTGGCTGTAAGCTGTGGGGTTTGTTTCTGGGGTCTCCATTCTACTCCATTGGTCCACTTGTCCGCTTTTATGCCAATACCATGCTGTTTTGATTATCACGGCTTTATAGCATGTCTTGAGGTAAGGGAGTGATATGCCACCCACGCTACTCTTCTTGCTCAGGATTGCTTTGGCAATGTGAGGTCTTTTATGATTCCAGACAAATTCTATGATTGTCTTTTCTAGATCTGTGAAGAATATCCCTGGTATTTTGATTGGAACTGTGTTAAATATGTAGATTAATTTGGGTAGAATTGCCATCTTGATTATGTTAATTTTAGTGGATTGACTTGTTTCCTTTGTCAAAAATTAGTTGGCTGTAAGCTGTGGGGTTTGTTTCTGGGGTCTCCATTCTACTCCATTGGTCCACTTGTCCGCTTTTATGCCAATACCATGCTGTTTTGATTATCACGGCTTTATAGCATGTCTTGAGGTAAGGGAGTGATATGCCACCCACGCTACTCTTCTTGCTCAGGATTGCTTTGGCAATGTGAGGTCTTTTATGATTCCAGACAAATTCTATGATTGTCTTTTCTAGATCTGTGAAGAATATCCCTGGTATTTTGATTGGAACTGTGTCAAATATGTAGATTAATTTGGGTAGAATTGCCATCTTGATTATGTTAATTTTTCCAATCCAAGAACATGGAATGTCCTTACACATTTTTGTGTAATTTTCAATGTATTTTTTAAGATTTTCATAGTTTTCTTTGTAAAGGTCTTTGACTTCCTTAGTTAGGTTTATTTCTAGGTATCTTATACATTTTGTGGCTATGGTAAAAGGGATTCCTTTTTTCAGCTCTACTTCGTTCAACTCGTTCATACATAGAAATGCTATAGATTTCTGGATGTTGATTTTGTATCCTGTCACTTTACTGTATTCATTTATTACTTTGAGAAGTTTTTCATGGAAACCTTTGGGTCTTCTAAGTATACCATCATGTCATCTGCGAATAAAGATATTTTTCAATTCTTCTTTGCCTGTTTGAATGCCTTTAATATTGTTCTCTTTTCTGGTTGCATTAGCTAAGACTGCCAGCACTATATTAAAAAGCAATGGAGAATGGGGGCAGCCTTGTCTAGTACCAGTTTTTAGTGGAAAAGTTTTTAGCTTTTCCTCCAACAGGGTCTTGATGCCACAATCCATCCCAGCTTCAGCCAGCCCAGGATCACAGTATGCATATGCCCAGCATGTTCAGGGATCTCCCTGGACATGAACCTGGAACTTCTCACCTGGGTCAGTCTCGCAAAATATTTAATAAAAGGCGTTTATTTCTTTACCCTCTGTCTGTCATCATCCTTCCCTTTGCTCATCTGTCTACTCATCCATCTAGTACCTCTCATCCATCCGCCTCTGTACCCTGCTATTGTTCAAATGTATCCCCCCAGTTCATGAGTCAGAAACGGTCCCCAGTGGAAAGATGTTGGTAGGTGGGACCTTGAGGTGGTTTAGTCGTGGGGTTCTGCCTTTATGAGAGTTAGTGCTGCTCTCACTAGAGTGGGTTCCTAAAGGAAGGACAAGCGTGTCCCCTTTACTTCTTTTTCTCACGGTGGATCCTTTCTATTGCCACATGGTTCCCCCCACCATATCACGATAGAAACCCCTCGATCTCAGACTTCCCAGCCCCCAGAATTAGGAACCAAGTAAAATTTCTGTTCATCATAAATTACTTAGTCTGTGACTTTCTTTTTTATTATAACATTAACTGGCATATAATAGTTGTACATATTTATAGGGCATAGTGTGTGTGTGTGTATGTGTGTGTGTGTGTATGTGTGTGTATGTGTGTGTATGTGTGTGTGTGTATGTGTGTATGTGTGTGTATGTGTGTGTATGTGTGTGTGTGTATGTGTGTATGTGTGTGTATGTGTGTGTATGTGTGTGTGTGTATGTGTGTATGTGTGTGTATGTGTGTGTATGTGTGTGTGTTTTGAAGGATTACCAGAGCATGCGGGTCCTCATCAGAGAGACAGAAAGAAAGAGCGAGGGAGAAGGTGGAAACATCCTCCTCCCCAGGAAGTGTGGTCATGCCATGATTTCTTCTCCATTTTCCTGTCTTGTTGAGATTCTAGGCTCACACACATGTGCCTGGCATGTTTCTCAAGCCACAGGGGCTAGAATTTGAATCATGGGTAGCCATGTGGGATCTGGCTCCTTGAACCATTAGGCTACAGGACTGGCCCAAGTGTGATTTTTCACTAAATACATACATATATATATGTTATATATATACACACACATATATATAATATAAGAAGAAAGTAGGGCAATAAATTTATTCTCTCAGACATTACGATTATTTGTGAGCATTTAAAATCCTCTCTTCTAGCTAGTTTGAGAAATACATTGAACTATCTCCAACTATCGTTGGTCTTCGGTATTATAGCACTCATTCCACCTATCTACTTACTCTCTTGTATCCACTAATCCAGTTTTCCTTATCTCTTCCCCCCCTTCTCAGCTTCTGTTAGCCACTGTTGCACTCCCCACTTTTTTTTTTTTTGAGAGGTTTTCACTATAGGGCGCGTGCGCTCGCCAGACAGACAGAGAGAGACAGAGAGACAGAAAGCGAGAAATCACCCCCCAGGGGGGGTGGCCACGCTGCAATCCTTTCTCCTCCATTCTCCTCTCGGGATCTTGGGCACGCACGCACACGTGCCCGGCATGAGTGTAAGCCACCAGGGCCGGGAGTCAAACCGTGGTTGACTATGTGGGAGTCCAGCGACATAGCCATTACACCAACTGCTGGTCTCTGCACTCCTTCTAAGCTCTCAGACTTTTTAGCTTATACTAGTGAGTGAGGAAATATGATATTTGTATTTCAGTGCCTGGCTAACTTCATTTACCATAATTCCTTCTGGTTTTGTTCATATTGTCACTATTGACAGGATTTTATCCTTTATGTGGGTGAAAAAACATCTGATGTGTATCTGTACCACGTTTTCTTTATCCAGTCATCAGTTTTGGGGCACTTAGGTTAATTCCTTATCTTAGTTATCGTGAATAGTGCTATATTCACAGAGATCTCTTCAACACGTTGACTCCCTTTCCTTTGGGTATATACCCAGTAGTGGGATTGCTGGGTCTTAAGGCAGTCTGTTCTATTTTCAGTATTCTGAGGAACCACCACACTGTTCTCCATAAAGGGTGCA